TCTCTCTCTCTCTCTCTCTCTCTCTCTCTCTCTCTCTCTCTCTCTCTCTCTCTCTCTCTCTTTTCTCTCCCGCGAAGGGACTTCTTTATTGTCGCCGTTCGTCTCGTTGCGATTTCACCGGTTCGTTTACCCCCGTCATTCGGAATCTACTACGGGACTATGTTTTAGCGAGCGTATTTTAGGATGACGTGAATTTACCTCATCGATGCGCCATCCTTTGTCGAAGATTTACGGCGTCCGCGCTGAGTCTTTTTGGATCTCGCGATCGTTCCGTGGAATTACTTTGACCGATTCATCCGGTGATCCAAATCATTTTTAGTTACGTATATAGTGACATTGGTCGCGTGGCTTGTAATTAATTAATTTATTTGTAGAAATAATGTGATCTTAATGACTTTAAAGCCTGTAAATTTAATTATATGCCCTCTATATTTATATAATCTCTATATTGACTTTGTATCAATATGACTCATGTATGGTAATTAACTATTTGTTATATTATATATAAAACCAAAAAATGTAATTATCTGAATAATACCGAAATGTAATACAAATAGTTTTACGATGTAATTAATAGATTGTAAACAAAATGTTGTACATAAATTATTTTCAATACATCGATTCATTCGTTGATGTGAACTTTCATTTTATTTGCCAAAAATACAGGGAGTGACAGATTTTATTAATCTGATTGTGATTTTTTTTTAGGAGTTGCAGCAGGGGAATGGCAATCTGGGCGCCACAGGACTTAGCAGTATGCAGGATTCTCCTCATTCCCTCAAAATCAAACAGGAGCCCTTTCAATTGTCACCGCCGTCACCTCTGCCGCCCCTTCATCAAGGTAATATCTTCATCCCCGATACTTTATTTATCTCTAAGTATCATAACGCATGAAAAAAAATCACTCAATTTTGTCTTAGGATTGTTCATCAATTAATTATGCGCGTTTCGAGAGAAAAACTTAATTTGAAAATTCTATATCGGTGTTTGCTAATTTCTAAATTAATTCTAACCAGCTTTTGAAATTGATCGAATGAGGAAAGTGAAGAGTCGAAAGTGGCAATCTTTCCGGACGAATTCGAACAACGTCGGCAGCGTCGGCGGAAAGAAGCCGAGCGCGTTGTTGCTAAAGGCCGCGTTCTAATAATACAAAATTGTAGACAGTGTTGAGAGTGTGTCGTCGTCGCGAGGGAGGGCTTCTCTCCGCGAGAGATGACTTTCCGCGAGAGAGGGAGGAAGGAGAAGAGAGAAAGAGTGATATACCGCGGGCGGCCTGCGGCGCGCGAGAAGAGATCCCCGATCTTTCGGCGCGGCGTTTAGTCACACGTTCTCTCATCCCTGCGATTATACGGCCTCCTCCACCGACGAAATATCGTCGCCGACGTCGTGCTCCTAATAGAAATACCCCGCGATTTATCTCGCGGTGACGAAACGCGGTTATGATTTAACGTGCATTTCAAGATCTTGCATCTTGATATTGCTTTAACACATTATCGACAGTACCGACGACAGGACAGACGATTTATACGAATAGATATATAAATGGCTGTTTCTCAGTTCTACGGTATTTCTTTGATTGAATCTACCTCGAGTTTAGAGGTGCCGTACGATACAAGATTAACCGCCATTTCCGCCAATGTAGATTAATTTTGTTAAATTTATTTTTATAATATAGTTCTATGAATTAGAAGAAGACAAAGGGTAAATCAAACCGAGATCAAATTTATGAATGGAGATAAGGGTAAGGGTACAATATTGCGATACAGCGAGATTCCTCATATCGAGAGAAGAATTATCTCGTCGCCGAATACGTAGCATTCTTCTCATTCTTTATTCTCAACGGGATATCGAGATAGACTTCTTGCCGATGGTTTCTCTCTCGCTCTACAATGGTCAACTGTATCGCCGGTATACGATTGCCCCGGGGTTCGTCTTTCTATGTGCGATTGTCAAGTCGGTTGGTCATAAGGAACATTTACGGAGAGGATAATAGAGAAAGAAAGAAAGACGAAGGCAGAAAGAGAGAGAGAGGCGGAGAGAGGGAGAGAATGATAAGCGTAGCTCCTTCGTCATTCGGCTCGTGTTACCGGACTTTATTATTCGCTAATCGCTGAATGTCTGAATAGATAGATAAACCGAGATATGGCCTCGCCGACATGGCTCCCGCTCGCTCGATTAATCCCGTCGGCCTCTTACTTACAGGGGGTGAAATCTTAGACGGGTATCAATGTCCCCTGTGTGTTACGCAGATATGCGTCATGGAGATAATCGTTAATAGTTGCGAGCCTTCGCCGAGATAAGAATGTCAAAGGCGCGCAATAGATATCTATTCGAAGGGCGAGTCCGTAAAAGTGAAGGAACTTTCGTAATTTCTCGCGCTATGAACAAGCAATATCGATGCGCAGTATTGACGTTGGCTCTCACATTTATTACTGTGTTAGTATTAAATGTAATACTTGGTGGTATTATATTTAACGTTTCGTATCAAATTCAGTACACTAGATATTAAAGCTAGTATAAATTTCAATGGTTGCCATCAAAATTATTATAAATTTACTACTGAATAATAAAAACATATCGAATTCAATATTTTAAGTAGCGTTGATAATTGATAAAGGTGGACATCCGATGAAATGAAGAAACTAATAACGCGACGTGACCTTTTTGTAATTGAAAAATAAACCCATCGACACTGTCCATCAATTGCAAATTTTATAATTGTTAATTTTCTAATGCATTGTGAGTTTATCTCGAATAATTTCTACATATGCAGAATTTTTGACGATTTGAAAATGGAAAAAATAAACAGGCCGCAAAGAAAGTATTAAAAATACCAAATCAGCAAGGAGTTATCTCTGTCTCTTCAACTTCTTCTTATTTATGTGTTTTCTTGTTTACGTTTTTTTGTCAACCCAATTTCACTCGCTTATGTCACATAATGATTCCGGTCATTATGCAAAAATATTCGTGAATTCATTTAAAAAGATTACGAATCGCTTGGCTAACGAGGGCCAGCGATTAAGAGACGCGGACGAGAAGTAGAGATTTTCGGTAAGAAGGATCTCACCGGGCGGTCCAGAACGGATGCTGCTGAAACAAGAGGAAGGATGCAACGAGGCGTCGCGCGTTTAGAGCCACGTCGCCGTGAATCGGGGTGTTTAGAGTGCTCGTGTGTAAGAGTTATGGTCGCTAATCCGGGAAGGCTGTGCGTGCTCCTCGGGGGGGCTGATGTATTCCGTTCAACGACGACAGTCTCTTCGTGGATTCCGCCGTGGCAGTCGCGACTTTGGTGATGTTCGCATTTAGACCAGCACCCGGGAACGAGAAAAATATCGGCAGCCCTCGTACTATATTCAATTTGTCGCATTGCATCTCCGGACTTAATTCTACTAATCTTCTTATTTATAACATTGAACGTTTCTTATAAACTATTTCTAATAAAAAGAAAAGGAAAGAATCATAATTTTTTATTGTCGGGTTGTTGTCGGTGTCGGTGGTGGGTAATTCGCGAATTCTAGAGGGAATTTTTTTTTTTTTTTAGAGGGAAACTTGTGTGCGATTTTTTTTAGAGGGAAGACTTGTGTGCGATTAAATGTTTGTCATGCTGATTATACAAAGCTCGAATGTGATGCGCGAGTGGCCGGATCGTGGCTCTCACGTTCCATATCGTTACAGTCCGCGCGCGTCTCCTCTATTCCGCCGCTTAACAACGATTATACGCGCCGCAAGTTTATCGTGGCAATAAAGGCCGCACGATAAAGTCGTACGAAATAGCTGACACGTCTAATTATAGGACAGCCGATTATCGCTTAAACGCTGATCTAATTGCTATTGCGTTGCTACTGCGCGTTGTGGTATATTACTGTACAATCAGAGAAATTTAGACGTCCAAACGAATCATCGATCGAATTGGTCTATTGTTTTACATTGTTTTTTTTTACACACGAGTTTATATGATGTGCATTCGAAAGAAAATTGTCAGAAAGATCTTTCTTGTACGACATAATATATTTGTATCCTCTCTTGTATTGTTTTATAAGTGTTAAATTGTTTTCTATGTCCGTTTTATTGATATTTTCATCCGAAGAAGGAAGGAATTCTTCGTATATATTAAAGATGCGAATATTTGACGAATTTTTTCCTAAAATTGACAGTATCATCGGTCGGTTTCTCCGAAATAATTATTTTGTAATTTTTCCACTTTCGACATCATAATCTGAGATGGTTAATATAATAGTTCTCTCTTTTTCGAGCAAGTACGATAGCGCGATAGATTTTTAAGGAAAGTCCGGATCGATGACCCTGTTTATTTACTTTAAAATAGGGTCATGGATGCAATCATCGAGTATTCGTATCAAAATCACAGCGTAGTAAATAACGGCAATCGGTTCGGGAGCGATCGCTAATTTTGCGATAAGAAATATCGCATACGAATGGGACGTTATCGCGAACGGCGCTATATTTCGTTGCAACGTTACAGAAATTGACAGAAGCCGCCAAAGTTTCGAGATAAGCCGCGTAATATATTTCGGCGGGAAATGACTATTTAACGATAATGAGTAATTACATCCTTGTGAAACGGTTTTAATTTAATTTATATTGATAGGTGAATTTAAGAACGTTAATTTAAAAAGAAATAAACAATGGAGTAGAAACAAAGTTTAAAAAGAAAAGATTCAAAAATTGTCCTATGAATATAAATATGAAAAAAAATAAAAAATATAAAATGAAAATAATTACAATTATTATTCATTTCGGATATATTGTCTTTTTATTCTATGTCAGGCAGCTTTCTGCTTCAATTTCTGATTCTTTCAATAATTCTAACTGTCGCGTGTAAAGTAGCTGTACAAACTCGAAATGAATAATGCGTGGCGACAAAATGAACGTGGAGAAGAGGAGAAAAACATAGTGGTGCAAAGATAATAAAGGTCATTCGGAGTTGACGAACCGAATTGAGAAAATGTGGTCGGGCCTCCGAACAAAAAGTAATTACTCGTTAGATAATCGACTTAATTTCTCATTTGTGTTTTTGCGTTTTCGCTCGCGATTGCGCCGCGCCACGAGGGTGCTCCTCCGATTAATCAATGCCCAGTAATGGCGGGCACGACGCCTGTGCAAAACAGGCTGCTCGCGTTGTATATTTATTATCGCAAAACACGATAGCAACGGGGATAACGACGCGTCGTAGTCGTCGTTGTCTTTGACGCGAAGAGAAAGAAATGATCGAAGGAAGACGACGCGGTGTCCTCGTGTCACGCGATTGTCCCTCTTCTGTCATTGTCTCTCGTGCCAAAAATTTTCTTATTGAAATTATAATAATTAATAATAACGATGCAAGTCGTCGGTCATTTCAGTGAAATTGCGAATGGTCGACTGATTCGGCCGTGATCGATAAAACATGAGTTTACGTAAGCGTAACGAACGTACCGCGTTTTTGTGGAATTCCGGACTTGGAATGTTGGGATTTTGGAATCATCGATAATGATGGAATCATTGATCGACGATTGTCTTAGAAAGATGTAAAAGATGGAAATCCCGAAAAATTGAGTAATGAAGATGGAGATTTTTGCAAAAGCATATTTGCAATTTGACAAACGCG